GGGGTTGGCTTTCAAACGAACTCGAGGCATTACAAACGACCACATAAACATGTCAAATGGCGGGGGCAGTGGCAGGGGCGGGGGCAGAGGGGGAGGCCAAATGAACTAACTGCATTCGCCCGCACAAAGCAAAGCGCCGCGTAGCGTCGGATAAAGATCTGATTTTGTGAGTTGATTTTTGAATTAGGGCCGAGATTTGTGTGGCACTTGCTCCGGCCTGAATGAGCGACTGACTGACCGAATGAATAAATAATTACATGCTGAATGCATGTGTATATGGCAATGTTTAAGCCCGTATTTACTGCTCATCAGAGTCGACATTTTGGCTAAATTTATTTGTATATATTAGGCGCATTTTGCACATTTATCTGACAGATGCCGAAGCAAATACTGATACAGATACAGCTGAAGAGTTATCTGTGGACAAGTCCACGTCGTTAAAAGTCTTTAGTAAACAGCGTTCATTGCTCTTCGTCTGTTTATACACTTGCACGAGGTATGATGAATTTGTCATGGAGTATACGATGCATAAAATTATACGCACAGCTGTCATGGGCATGATCCTACGAATATTTCTCAAGATATCTTGTCCAAACTCAGCAAATACGATCCGTATATCAAATCACATCTAAGCCGTGTGTCTACAAGGGTATTTAAACTTCGGCGTGCAAGAGCAAGCGTTCTTTCGAGTTTGTCTTTTGTTATGTTTGTTGATTTACGCGCGAATTTCGCAACAATTGAGCAAATTTACAGATCAACTACAGCGGCAACGACTTAAGGAATACGCTTCCTGGAATGCGCCTCAAGAAAAGCTCGGAAAAATGCATATCTACATATCAAAGAATATGTATAAACAAACATACGCTCACACGCTACTTAAATATACTCTATTATAAAACCGCAAGGGGTGTGGTATTCTGTTTATCGAATTTATAGCTTGTCGTAGGCTTTGCGAATACACTGCCATACGTATAGGTATGTAAAATATATATTTATATTTGTAAATATGCACTCACTTGTAAATTCACACGAATGATTATTTTATCGTCATCGACACACGAGTAGGCAGGAGACGAACATCTATGAACCCACATTACTGAAAGAACAGAAAAGAGGAGATCATTTTTATTAGTTTGAAAACGCAGCTCGCAGGCTAAACCTTACTTAAATTAGTGAGAATCGCGGAGAAGAGCGATATCTATGAATACAATTATTGTGAATTGTCAGCTCAGCTCCAACATGCACATATATTTAAATACATATATACATGTGTACAAAGCAACATGCAATTCATGAGAATCGCGTAGTAGGGCATTTGTTATGAATACGTTTGTTATGTTTTTTTTTTTAATTTGCAGCGCAGCTAGATGTAAACATGTTCTTGCATATAAACATACATAATATATGCCTTCATTAATTTACATATACATATGCTTACATATATACATGCATACACACATGCATACATACATGCAAACATTCAATAATTCTTATATACATATCTATATTCATACTGACATAATACACTTATAAAAGCTACATATTTACCCGCATGAACGCATGCATACATAATACAATAGCAAGCATATTTACATGCATGTACACATATCTAAGCATGCATGCATGAGCACATGTACTACATATTACTTACATACTTACATATATAAACATATGTGTATGCATGTCAAGTTGTATTGATGTGTGTATGTATAATACATACAAGTATGTATGTATGTATATATACATGCTTACGTACATATACACACATACACACACACATCCACATAGACACATACATACATACCTACACGTACATACATACATACCTACACGTACATACATACATACAAACATACATACATACATACATACATACATCCATAAGTACATACATACACACATAGCCGAAAACACAATATAACACAGTTTATCACCAGAAAAAGAACCAAACACTTTATAAAAGTAGGGAAACCTGCCGGGCTTACTTGAATTTATGAGAATCGAGGAGTAAGGCATCGCTTAAAAGTACATTGCTTTTAAATTTTTAGCGCAGCGGGAATTCATTTGCTTCATAATTGTATACATATCTACATACATACGGGCAAATGGTACATACATACATACATACATACATACATACATACATACATGCATACATACATACATACATACATACATGTATACATACATACATACATACATATATAGCGAGTGTTCCGCTTGCCCGTGGCATGATTTATGCTTTATATTTTAGGCATAGCTTTTTATCCAGTTCCTGTACGTGAAAATTGTAATCAATTTGAATTTCGGGTCTTGAGTTAAATTTTACAGACATTTTTATAAAGAAGTTTAAAATCTATTGAATTAGGAATAAAAAATTGGAATTAACATTTTACGCCCATGATAGTCTTTTGGTGAGAATAAACCAAATAAACTTTCGCTCATTAAACCTTTGGCCCGCATTTCCCCCAAGAGCCGTGGATTTTGCGAGAAACGTAACAAATAAATGTTGACAAATATATTTGAAATTTACGGTTGGGCTATGCGTTTCTATCTAGTTTCTCTCTCTTTAGAAACTATCGATAACAAGTCAATTTCTTCAAGTGATGCCACAAAAGAAAAAAAAAAACAGAGTGACCAGTTGCAAAGAACTTATCTAATTGATTTTCATTCAAAGTATGCCCGCTCATATATTGCTTATAGTATTGGAAGTTTTAGTGGTAGTATGAGTATATAAATTTAAACACGATGGACTACCCCTAATGAGTGACATTTAATGCACTTTAAGCCGAATAGAACCCATATTCACGGTTTGTTCTTTCGAAATTGTCAATGCCATTTAGCTGGCAGCTCTTTAAAGTGTTGCATAAGCAGCCCTTAAGGAAACATGCCTCAGCTCGGGCGCATTTGTAAACAAGGAAATCGTTTCTTGTAAACACTTAAGTGCAAGACTTCCTTTGGCTAATTGCCAACTGGGCGACCACTTGGGAGGGGGCTGCCTTCGACTTGTGTTCTCTTGTCTTTCTTGGTGTTTTCTTTTTTGCGCATTCTAATATCCGGTTTCTGTTGCAATTTGAATGCTGTTGTTATCGATAAGTGCGCTCAGTGGTGTTTAAGGGTTGAAAACCACCCACGAGGGTGCTAACAGTCTCTGCGATTTCCTGCCCGGCGCACGCGTCTGAGTTGTTGAGAGTTGCTCAATGGATTTGCCTACTTAACTCGATTAAATGCTTGCCACACATGGCAAGTGACAGTGCCGAGGCAGAGAATGCGGAGCGCCCACCCTTAACCAGAGTAGAGCTCAAGGGGTGGGTACAGGGACGTGCAAGCCGCAAGAGTTACCATATTGCGCGAATGTAGCCCAGCTTACTGGAGTTGCAGCTATATTTTATGGAGCTTGCGATATGTCAGTCGATAAACTAGCAAGTATAATAAAATCGATATGTAATCGATGAACTTCGACGTAGTTATCGATAAGTTTTGGATTTTTTTGTTGGTCTCCCTTAAAAGTTTTACTAAAGCTTTCGCTTTTGCCATGCTAAAATGTTTTTCAATCGATATCTGTCGATAACTAGCAAAATCGATTACGATAACTATCGATCAATTGTGGGCTTCTTTGTTATGTATGTATGTCCGACTTTTTAATATTTCTTTGGGGCCAATGTAGATGAAAATTATAAATGTAGCCGATAATTTTTGATTATCTATTTTGTATTCTGATATTTGCTGCAGTTTTCATAGTCTAATTTCATAGCCTAAAGCAGGCAATGGAGGGAGTTTCAAACTGTGCCTTAAAAATATAGTATGTACAATTTATTGGGTCAATCTTTCGAGGTATTTTGGGAATTTAGCTCTAAGTATGTAAAATATAAAGACTATCGCGATTTGCTCGAAGGAAAGTGCATTAAAATGGACAATCGGACGGACAGCAAGACGGACCTTTCACAAAACCAATATACTGCTTCTCACCTCTTGAACAGGGTATAGAAATTGCACTCTAGTATTTGTTATGTCATCGTCATCTGGCAACGCTGTGCCGCTTGCAACCCCCAACTAAACTAGTTGCAGCTACCAAGTGGCATAGATTCGCATGGACACAGTTCCTGCTATCGCTCCCCCCACACCCGACCCCGACCCCGCCTATTGCTCTGCCAAGAGTTGCACGGGCGGCCAGTGTTGGGCGCCGGCGCAGAGAGCGCAACACGCGGGTGTGTTGCCATCCCGTTATCCTTGCGTGAGCGCCAGAGAGCGAGAGAGAGAGAGAGAGAGAGAGAAAGGGGCTAGTGAGAGCGCTAAAATGGCCCATTAAAGTTTCATGGGCTGTTCTTTTTTTCGTTTCCTTTTTTTTTTGTTGTTGTTTTTCTGTTTTTGGGTATGTTTCGCTCTGTTCAGCTCCGTGGCTTGAAGCGTGCTGAAGTTGTTCCACGCACAGGAAAACCGAAAAACAAATACGGAGAAAACAAAATACAATAAAGTGTTCAATAAACTCGGGGATTTTTCAATTAAATGTTTCCAAAATAATATGTAAACAACAATTCGACTCTAAGAACCTAAAAGACAACAAGACTTGGGTCCAAGGCAAGAGCCCTTAGATACCGAAATAGGCGGCGTTGGGTATATACACACACACAGCAGGCAGAGACGCTAGGCGAAAGACAAATCAACACACAGCATCATGTGTAAGTAGATTACAAACACACACATCACACACACCACACACACACACACGTGCAGGTGGTAAAGTGGCAGCGGGTGTGCCACTGTGAAGTAGCTCGTGTGCCTATGTGCGCGCGTGTGTATGTGTGTGTTGGCACTTGGCCTAAACGGGCCAAGCAATTCGTTTGTTTTGCACTAATGAGCAAATGAAGCTGGCACTCAGCTCCCAGGAGGCGGCAGCTGCTGCTGCTGCAGGTGCCCCACTGCACTCCACCCCAAGTGCAACTGCAACCAATTGAGCTGACACTAATGTTTCTTTCGTAATGGTTTGTTGGTATTTTCAGCAAAGACACCGTCGTTTGACAAGGATCGGGATTATATTGGCTTTGCCACGCTGCCGGAGCAGGTGCATCGGAAATCGGTGAAGCGCGGCTTTGAGTTCACGCTGATGGTCGTTGGCGAATCGGGTCTGGGCAAATCCACATTGATCAATAGCCTATTTCTGGGTGATCTCTACAAGAATCGCCAGATGCCCAATGTGGAGGATCGCATCGAGAAGACAACACGCGTCGAAAAGAAAACCATGGACATTGAGGAGCGCGGCGTCCGACTGCGTCTGACCGTTGTCGATACGCCCGGCTTTGGGGATGCCATCAACTGTGAGGATAGCTGGCGCGTCTGCACCCAGTACATTGATGAGCAGTTCCGTCAGTATTTCACCGACGAGAGCGGCCTCAATCGCCGCAATATACAGGACAATCGTGTCCATTGCTGCTTGTACTTTGTGCCGCCATGGGGTCACAGGTGAGTAGCTGCCAGGCAATGTTCACAAAATGTTTTTAACGGACTTGCGTTCATTGATAGCCTGCGGCAGATGGACTTGGATCTGATACGGCGTCTGCATCGAAAGGTTAATATTGTGCTGGTCATTGGCAAGGCCGATTGCCTAAACAAGACGGAGGTGCGCAAGCTGAAGGAGCGCATATTACAGGATCTCGAGGATAATCACATACAGCTGTATCAGTTTCCCGAGTGCGATTCCGATGAGGATGATGATTTTAAGCAGCAGGATCGCGAGCTAAAGGCCTCCATACCATTTGCCGTTGTTGGCAGCAATACCATACTCGAGGTTGCCGGCAAGAAGGTGCGCGGCCGTCAGTATCCCTGGGGCGTGGTCAACGTGGAGGACGCTGAGCACAGCGACTTCATCAAGCTGCGCACATTCCTTATATCCACGCACATGCAGGACCTAAAGGACACCACACAGGTGAGATAACGCCTCAAGCGGCTCAATATATTCAACGATTTGCTAATGTCCTTTACACCGCATTCCCAGGATGTGCACTACGAGAACTTTCGGGCGCAGTGCATTTCACAGATATCGCAGCATGCGCTGCGCGAGCGCGGCAAATTGAAGCGAGACTCGATCAGCTCAACGAACGGATTCGATGCGGCCATTTCAGAAACGGATCGCCTGCTGCTTCAGAAGGACGAGGAGATTCGACGCATGCAGGACATGCTAACGCAAATGCAGGAGAAGCTCAAGCAGACGCATCTCATGGAGATGAAAAAGAACGACAGCGTCATTGATGTCTAAAATGCTGACTCTCTGCCCAGGTCGCGTGTTCAATTTTGCACCTTGATACATATATATACACGTATATATATTAAGTAATATAAATATAATACTTATATAGACACTCCCTCTACACCAACACACACACACACCCACACACACACACATTTGCCGCTACATAGGCAAACAACCACCAAAAATTTTCGTTTTTAAGATAGCACAGTTTCCAGTTAACCGAATTTTGTTCTGAAATTTTTACCTTAAGCTTTTTGTAGTTAATGAAAACAAAAACAAGAACAACGAGCAGTGAATAGAATATCGTTTTTTTTTTCTACGTCTTCTAGTTCTAAAAGGCATTTGCCATACGGATTCACTTACAATTTTGTAGAAGCGTCTCGTAGCTGAGCATTGACCAAAGTTGTTTTTTTTTTTAATTTATCTAGTATTTACCACAAAAATCGAACAATTATGCTAAACTTTTTAGACGAAAACGCTTTCACGTCAAATTCGCCAATTTTCTTATAAGCAAACAACACCTTTTTAATTGTTGAACGTAGATTTAATTTTATAACTAACTTCTAAATAATGCCCAATAATATAGTGTAACCAAAAGAATTCTTTTAACGATACGAGACTATGCCCAAAACATAGCTGTTGGCTTAAAAGCGAATTCCAGAACTCCGTAAAACAGTTTAATTAGAGCTCGCAATGGACGTATTATACCAAAGTAAAATGAGTTTAAAAAACTGAACGACAAAGCAGACTAAAAGAAAAACAAGAGGCAAACCGAAACGTATATATATACATATATCTGTATGCATATATATATATACGAATTTTTTTTTATTTCTATTTTTTGTCTTGAAAAACAAACTCCTAATTTGTTAAAACGAATTGTTAATGAATTTATTTTTTAAATGATTAATTAAGCAGCAAGCAACATAATAATTAAATTAAAATTATAGTGGAAAATTATATACACATAATAATAATAATAAAACGAAAAAAATTAAAAGCAACTATTTAAAATAAACATAAATATAAAAATTAACTATGTCCTCATTTTTTACATATACCCAACATATGTGGGCGGAGATTTCGTGAACACATTTTAGCGCCAATTTTGCGGGAAATTCCTTGGCCTATATTGTGGAGAGCTCTTCGTCTATTCAAGCGAACTCTTACAAGGAATCTGTCACCCCAGAGTGGACCCAAGTGCGCCGAACTATCCGGCGCAGTTATGTCGTTTTGGAACTCCGCGCAGAGATATGACGTTCCAAAACGACATAACTCCCGGCGGGAGATATGACGTTCCAAAACGACATAACTCCGCGCGGGAGATCTGACGTTCCAAAATGGCATAACTCTGCGCGGAGTTATGAGGTTCCAAAACGACATAACTCCGCGCGGGAGATATGACGTTCCAAAACGACATAACTCCGCGCGGGAGATATGACGTTCCAAAACGACATAACTCCGCGCGGGAGATATGACGTTCCAAAACGACATAACTCCCGCGGGAGATATGTCGTTTTGGAATCATCCTCAATAGCCGAGTCGATCTAGCCATGTCCGTCTGTCTGTCCTTTTTCCTATAATCGGCAATCGATAAAAATCGATTTTTTTGTATGGACTTAAAAGAGGCTAGTCTGAAGGAAGTGTGTCGTCTGCAACCGACTGCGCAATACTCTGCTCGAACAGAGTTTAAATTACTGGACAGGTGACTTTAAAACTGTGCAGTGACTGTCAAAGAATGATTAAATAATATTTTATTTGGCCAAATCTAAAAATTTATGTTTAAGCTCGTGCACGTTGATGTTGCCATACACAGAAATTCAGACAGACACCGCCCAAAGCCAATATACTCTTGTTCAACTTGCGAAGAAGGTGTTAAGAGGAAATGATTTAAATGGTTTTAGTAGGCCCTGGAGTGCAATTAATCAATTTCTGTCAATTCATTTAGATTTATTTATTTCTCTCTATAATTGTTTCTCACGTTTGTATCTTTTATGCATACACACATATGTATACATATACATATATATACATGTTCTCTTGCCATATACACATATATGTATGTCTAGTATGCCAATTGCTTGGTTTACAATATATGTCTTTGGGATTTACATGTATGCATATCTCATCTCTGCGAATTGTTTGCCAAAATGAATAAATTTTTTATTTATATTTATATTTTGTTTTTTTTTTTGTTTTTTTTTTTTTGGTATTTTTTAGGTTTTTTTGCATGCCTTTTTTTGGGGTAGAATTCATTTCATAAATGTTAATGCTTATTACACATACATATAGCTACATATGTATATACTTAAATACATATACATGCGTATATATATATATTAGTATATATGTACATTAAATGGGTTATTCAAAAGACAGAGACGAGCAAAAAAAACCTATAAACTTGTTATGCAATATGGGTAGCCCATTCAGTTTTTTGTTTGTTTTGTTTTTAATTTTTTTTTTATTAATATTTTTGACGTATGTGTACGCCCGTCAGTGGAAAGGTTTGCTCTTTTTTTTACTCAATTTTACTCAATTTTTCTCGTTTTTCTCAATTTTACTTAAATTTGTAAGTAATTGTGTTTTCTCTTTTTTTCTAAGTTTTAAATCTTTCTTTAATCTTGAATTCAAACTCGTTTTGCATTTGCAATGTTTACCTGGCTATTAACGGTTCAATTCGTTTTTCTAACCTCAAGCGTACTCGTAGTTTGCCTCACAAACCTTTTCTTTAACTATTTTTATACCATTTTTTTTTCATATTAAATATTGATTACCTTTGCCTACATTCCATTTAACATTCGTTTGCCGCTTAATATCAATTGCGAGTGTATCTGTGTGTGTGTGAATTTATGTCTGTATGCATGTATACTGCGTGTGTGTGTGCTTGTGTGTGCTTGTGCGTGTGCTCGTGTGTGTGTGTGTGCGTGTGTACTTCTGTGTGTGTGTGTGTGTGTTGAGTTCTCTTGTTGATCTTGTATATAATTGTAAAAATTTCAAAAAAAAATGTCTAACTGCATTCATGTAACGCCAGCGTTACATATATATATATATATAATATATATATACATATATATATATGTATATATAATATATATATATAAAACACATCTATATATATATATATATATACATATATAATATAATATACATATCATATCTCTGCTAGTTTTCGTGCTCTCGTATATATATTTTCTTGTAATTTTGCCCGAATTTCCAGGCTTATCTTTTGCCACATTTCCATGCTTTATCCTTCTTCTGTTTGTTTTTATTATTTTTTTGTATAATATTATTAATATTTTTTCTTAACAACCGTCGCCTGCGCACATTTTCTATTTTTCCATTTGAGTTTTGTTTTTGGTGTTTTACATTTCATTTAAGTACAAAACTTGCCTTGCGTTTCAGTAAATACATTTTCCTGTGACTTTTTCCCTTTGATAGATACATTTCAATGCCCTTCTTTTGGCTTCTCCGCATAACAATATCTGCATATATATATATTTATATACATATATATATTCTTGTTCATTTTAATCTAAACATACATCTACACAATGCATGTGTTTTTTATTTGCAGTTCACAAAAAAAATACGCTGTGATGTACAGCTCTCAGCACAACAATCCACAAAATATTTTTCAACATTTTTCGCATAGCTTTCAAAAAAAAATACTTTGGCCAACCTGTGCTATAATGTTTCTTATCCGTACTATAACATCTATAATTATGGGACGTAGCTTACTAGCAAAAAAAAGGACTTTAATTTATATAATACTACACGCATATGCATATATAATTATATATATTTATGTATATACACTGATATACTTGACGGCATGCCCTTTTAATTCACGACGTTTTTTATAAGGGAAATGGATTTTGACTTTATATATAAACTAGACGATACTGCAATTTCAGTCAAAACTGGGCAAACACTGGGCCACAGCCATCGAAATTGAGATAGATAGATAGTTAGATAGTTAGATAGATAGTTAGATAGATGCCTGCGTATGCTGCATACGGGCACACATCGAGAGACAGAGTTCGATCGAGTTGGAGATGGAGGAAAAAAAAAGAAGACATTAGATAATCCTACTCGTAGTTGCCAATGTATGCCTTGTATCTTGGCATATTACTAATAAGTATATGTTGTGAAAAAAAAAAAATAAAATATATATGTATATATATCTGCATCTTGATATTTATATATATATTTTATTTAAATTTTGCCATAGTTTTCCTGTTTCGTTTGTTTTTTTTTTCTGCTCTTTCATTTTTATATTTTAATATAAATTTAGTTTTAAGTTTATGAATTGCTTTTGGTTTACCAATGCGAGAATTGATGTCCATGCCATTTATCGGGTTAAGTGCTAAGATGCATAATATATAAATGCATATATATACATATACATACGCATATATATATACATACATGCACACATACATTATGCTTATGTATATATATATTAAATTCATCAATTACAGGGACACATATGGTTAGATACATACATATAAGTAACTGTATACATAATACGTAACGGCATAAGCAATTGTAATATATATTTATATATATATATATATGTATATAGTATATACTATAAACGTACAATGTATATGTATATGGTATAGTGTGTGTAAATACATTGTAAATTACTTATGCCCGTAGCTATACATAAATGTAAATATATCAATGTGTATCTGTAACTAGTATCTGTATCTATCAGATATCAGAAGTGATGTGTGTAGAGTTCATTGCCAGCCTGTCTGCGTGTGTGTGTGTGTGTCCGTGTGTGTACACATACATGTAAACATATATAATTATTACACACATTCTCACTAACATGGCGATTATTTGGAGTGTAGTTCGAACCAATTACAAAACATTACTAAATACTTTACTAAATATATATGTATATATATATATATATATATATATATATATTTATACATATTTATTTTAGTAATATTATAGGTATGCATGTACTTTCACATATAATTTAATATAATTAACTGTTATCTCTGTTTTCTTTAGGTATATATATATATGTACATATATATATATATAGGCTTTTGTTTTTGTTAGAGAAAAAAGTCATTTGGTTTTTGTTGGTTTCATTTATTTGTAATTTTCATTTCACTCAATTGTTAAAGTAGCTTTCAGTTTTTGCCATGGACTGCGCCCTGCTTTCAACTATTGTTTGTATATATCTTTTTGTTTAATTTGAATTTTTGTTGGTTTATTATTTGAATTAATTGCATAATTAATCATTAATTTCAAAAGTATATCTGAAGCGCACATTTACAATGCTGCTTAAATTACTATTAAGATTTTTCAATATTATTACTTTGTTTATCGACTTTGCATTTGGTTGTTGTTGTTTTTGGTTTTTAACTAACAGTTTTACAGTGTTTTTTTTTTTCATTTTGTTCTCATTGAACTCGACTCCAAATTTTTAAATTACAACAATTTACTCAACACGCTCTGATCATTAAACAATATACATTTTAAAGCTGTTTTACTTTAATGTATAATATATATATATATATGTCTATATATATATATATATATATAACAGCTTTAAAATGTATATATATATATATATTTAGTATATATATAATTTCTGTATTTTGGATAGTGCATAATAATTTTAATGATATTTTTAGACCATCAAGGTTCATTAATTTCATTTTTATTTTATATATATATATATATATATATTTATGTATAATTTTATGTAGATATTTAAAAAAAACACAATTTCACGGATCCTGCCCGATAAAACACAAAATAAAAATATATATATATGTATAGCATATATATGTATATAAATGTATGTGTGTGTGTGTCTATATGTGTGTGGGTTAAATATATATAGTTTTATATATTAAAAAAAAAAAATAAAATAAATTAATAACAATAAACGTAATAAATTATGCGCTTTTTAGTTTGGCCTGCCACACTCTCAATCAATCACGCGCCAGCGTGAGCTTGTGACTAAATATATATAGACATATATATATAAATATATAGATACATATTGCATAGATTGCTTTATATACATGATGTATCAATCATGTATGCATAGTTGTATTTGTATGGTTTATAGCCAATTACATTGTCTTACATTTTGTTTGTTTTTTGGTTTTTCGCTTTCAATTAAGAATTTGCTAGTGCTTGTGCTTGAAAAGTCTTTAGTTTTTCATTTTTTGTTGTTGTAAACTGTGGCCCAAAAAGCATCGTAAGTCCATTAAATCAATCAAATGAAATTTAATCAATCAAAATGTATAAATTCGTGTGGCATTCGTAGGACAACATTTGGCAGCTGCGATTTTAACATACACAGACCGAATTTTCTTTGCTTTCAGTTAGTTGATTTAACAGCTCTGTTAGTTCTACTGTTACACGTTAGTTCTACTGTTACTGTTACTGTTAATGTTACTCATTCTGTTTGTCTACTACTAAAATAATATTTTGTGAAGACAGCGTTTTACTTGGAAGCAACATAAATCAAATATTTCTTTAGCTAATTGTACAAAATATGTTTTTTTTTGTTGCTTTTGGTTTTGTTGTTTTTTTTTTGTTTTTTTGTTTTCTTTTGTTACAAGCAAATGAAACATGTGTTCTTTTCTTTTTGGCTTTGTTTATGTTTTCTTTCTTTTTTTTCTTATTTTTTTAACATTTTGTTTTTAGCTGCAAGCATTTGCTGCTTTATTTTAAATTCGAGTCCAACATTTAAATTATGTACAAATTAAAAAAAAAAAAAAACAACGTATTATATTTATGTATATATATAAATATGTATGTTTACATACGTATGTACATATATAGTACTTTACAACTGCAGTCCAAGCTGCAGACTGTACACATATGTTTTTTGGGCTAAATTTCTTTCATTTTAGCTTCAATTAAGTTAGTTTTGTGTGTAATTCAATTTAGTTTAATTCACTGGTTTTTTTTTTGATTTTTTTTTTTTTTGCTTTTTTCAGGCGGGGTAGAGGGAAGGTTCACAGTATATTTTGTATAGATCTAATTGCAGTTTGTGTTTGTGTTTGATATTGTTTTTTGTTTTTGTTTTCTTGTTTTTGTCGCCTATTAATAAATAAAGTTTCAAATGTCACGTTCATTTTGTTTGTTTGTTTTTTAAATTAATTACGTTAATTTTTAAATTTTAGCATGCACAATAATTTTCTTTCTTTTTGTTGAGCTTGAAGCGTTGTTCAGTTAGAAATTAGCTTAAAAGAAAACTTAATAGTTAACTTGTTATTTGTTGTTGTTGTTGTTGTTCTAGTTGCCTTCCTGGCCTTGGTTTGTCAATATAATAAAATGTAATAAAAACAACAAATTGTTGACTTAAGCTACGCAATGAATATTAAATTGAACAGAAATTTGTTTACATTCTTTTTTTTTTTTTGTTGCATATTAAAAACTAAAGTTCGCTTGCCTAATAATTATTTAAAATAAAAAAAAAAAACAACATTTAAATAAAAGTTGAAATCAAATAAAATATTGCAACAAAAAACGTCTATGGTTGTGCTTTTGGGCATTCTGGGTTATTTTGTTTCTAGCTTTCTTTTATGCTTTGCTTTTGTTTGCGTTTCTCTTTCTTGTTTCTTTCAGTGCGCTTTTGCCTTGTCTTTAATTTTGGGGAGGTTTTCTGGGAAGGTTTTAAGATAAGTTTAATGTTTAATGTTATGCTAATGCTGCTTTCTTTTTTTTTTTTTTGTTGTTTGTTTTCAGTGTATTCCACATCAATCTCATTTTTTCATTAAGTAAATTTATAATTTGTTATGCTTCTTGTTTTTTGTTTTATATTTTTTAGTTTTCCTTTTCGTTTTTCTTCACTATAAGTTAAACGGTATTTTTGCTATTGCTGTTTGGTTTAATGCTTTAAACATTTGTTGTATAACTTTGATTTTTTTTTTTTTTTTTTTTTTTTTTGTAGATTTCAGTTTTTCTGAAGTTTTTGGTTGATTGGTTTTTCTTGTTTTTGCTTTTAATTATAGTCACTAACGTATTAGGAAGAAGCTATGCGCCTTTTCCGTAAATTTGCGGTAAATTCCCACGACTCTCCGTCACATTCCACCGTGTTGCGCTTGATTTTGACTCCCTGACGGCTTGCCACCGCCAGCTGAGCCGCTGCCCGCCGCGCTGGTGGCCGTTGTACCAGTTGTGGTTGTGGAGCCGGCGTCTGCACGGCTCTCGCTCTCGTCGCACTCCTCTAGCTCGGCTAAATTCTCTTGATCGGACTCTTCCAGCGTTACCTGCAAGTTGGCCAGAATGGGTTGAGCATGGAGAGAAGAAGAAGAGGACAATAAATGATTTGATAAAATACCTGAAAGCGTATCTTCTCATCCTGGGGCATATCATCGGCCGCCGATGGTGGCGGCGATGGCGGTATCATGCTCTGATAGTAGTCTCTGTTCTCTTCAAGCGTATCAAGTATATCCTGTGCATCTGGATGGACCAGATCGGCCCAGGTCTCCCACAGCGGATGCACAATGTAATCGATGAAGCCCACCTGGGACTTCTCGATGGTCGCATTGTGGCGATCGCACATCGGACTGATGTCCATGCCCGATTCGCGCTCCTTGTCGCCCTGTAGAAAGAACTCCTCCATAAGCAGTGCCACCCAACGCTTATATAGCGACAATGGCTTGGTGGGATTGCTCAGATCAGCGCAGTGCACCAGATTCTCAAGCACCTGTGCACAAAACAAGCATAGTGTGAGTGTGAGATAGAGAGAGAGAGAGAGATAGCGAGAGAGAGAGAGAGAGAGAGGGGCTGTCTTGCCTGTATGCGATCTGTGTAGTTGTCCAGCAGCAGCACCCCAGAGCCCGCAACTTTCTTGGTCTCCACCATAGTCTTCAGATCGGCCAGCAGGCTCATGTGCTTGGACATGTCCGTGGAGAGCACAATATCAATAACCATTTTCCTCAATGTTTGGCGTTGTTTCCTAATCAATACACAAAGTCACCGAATTAATATGACACACTTCCCGTTCGCCATATGCAGTACATACTTTTGCATATTACAGAATATATCACATCCTTGATTTTGCAATAACTTGAAGGCAACAGCTAAATGATGATTTTCCAAAACAGATTCGTCATTGTACATTAACGCTAGTTCGGAACCTGTAGAAATGGTACGTATTTTAGATATATCAAATATATAATATATATGTACTTACTTGAATTAACCAAGAATTGATTGGTTAAACCAGGATGATCAACATCGTGTATACAAGCAGCGAACAGCGCCCCGCCCACCTCGAGGGGCGTAAATACACCTTCCAATGCGGGTGTATTCAATAGCACATTTGTGCTCTGTGTCACGTCAGCGGCATGCAGCGAATTGTGAAACGGATTGTCTTTGACATAGTGGTCCTCCAGAGTAGTCATAAAGTTAAGAAAAGTTTTCGGTGGTATCATAAGACTGGTCAGTAATTCTCTACTCTGTAAGCATGTGAAGATAATAAAAGAAATCACTGCATTAGCTTTTGATAAACAAAACAAGTACAAACGCTCGTGTCGAGTGTGCCCTGCAGCTCTCAGTTAATCATATAATATAGCGCAATTCATACTACAGCCTGTTTATCCTGGTGCTAAGAGCTGCATTCTCTATGGGAAATTAAATGTTGATTAGCTTATTTGTTTCTTGTTTGATCTTCATGGAAGGATCCCCACGGTAGGACATAAATATGATAGTCAAATATGCGTCTATACCAAAGCTCAAGGCTCTAGCTCTAGTTCTCTTCAAAAAGTAAAATATTTCCAATTTGTGTATACTATACAAGAGTCCACATACAAAATTTGATGTATCTACCTCTTATAGTTTGTCAGTTATTTCTAAAAACCACGTCTTAAAATCGATATTAATCGATTTTTCGGCAATAAAAGGAGATATCGACAATAAGCAATAACCTCTTTTTTCCCAAGACATATCAGTCTACAGGAGTAACACAGAGGGATGAAGAAAGACACAGACGGACCTGGCTAAATGGACGCAGCTCATGATGAAGAATATATTCGTTTACGGGTTTGTACATGGCTGTCTCTGCCTGTACCGCACATTTGCACAAAACCAATATAACCCATTTTAAATGGGAACAGGGCATAAAGAGAGAGCTTTGTAAATCTCAACTACCAGCAAAAGCCTAGCCGCTGCAAATGCGCGTTATGTGAAATATCGATGCTTAAAGGTTGTATATATCATTACTTGGATATTTAATTGGCTGTCTTACCTGAAATATGGTGTATGCCACACAGGTGAGCGGACGATTGAGGCTCAGCTCACCAATTTTGAATATCTCAATGCCCCACATATCTAGCTCGCCGAGCAGGGTGCCCAGCTCGTTCTCGTTGGGCGTCTCCACACCAAACGTGGGCAGACGCTCCCCGGTGAAGCTGTTGGTGTGCGACAATGGCCGTTTCACACCGCTGATCTGTGACATGGGCGGACCGCGCGGCGATCGACTGCGATATGGCTGGCTTATCGGCGCGGTCACGTGTTCTGTGTTTTCTTCGACGCGCAGCGAGGGTAAATCGAACTCTTGTTGCTTGTCTGCAATGGTATAGAAAAGCACGGAGGTTAGTTGAAAGTACTATAAAGTTATATTTGGTGCTAGCCAGCACTACCTGGCTTTGCACTGTACAAGTTTTTTCCATCATATTCACTTTCGCACTAACTACCCCGTTTTGCCTAAAACAAAAATTGCCACTCAGCCCGTGTTTGAAATTTTAAGAGCTTAAGGCTGAACTGTTGCATACTTTCAGGGGCAGCAATTGCAAGTAATTCACTTTACTGATTTAATTCATTCAATCGATCTCGCAGATCGTTTTATATAGTCACCCTACCTTTGTTAATTTAATATTAGACTTAATAATAGACTGATAAGTAAATTTGCATATACATTTAATTTAAGTTGTTGTAACAGTTAAGCAAAAAACTGAATTAACCAAATTTTAAGACATGTTACACTGGCATATTGCGGGTGTATTTAGTTCGATTATGAAAAAAACACGAAATTAATAAAAAAAATGTGCATATTAAGCTAATTAAATTTTTGGCGCATTTCAAGCGCTTGTTAGAGCATATATATGACAACGTTCTAGTTGAATCAGTTTATTTTTGCAAAATTTGTCAGCACACGAACTCCAGAATCCGAATGGCATTGCCTACATTTGGGCGTAACGTGGATTGCTTTTTTCCCCAGTGCAACAATAACGCAAATTGCCTGTGCAGAGATTAAGATTTATTCAAATTGCGTATTTCGAATGGTTAACAGCAACATGTATGCAGGCTACGGATGACTAAAGCGACACCCTGTCAAGGAAATGCACATCTATATGAATATGCAAGCAAACATTTGATACTCAAAAAGATAGGCCTTAGTAGAGTGATTCAAAGTTTTGTAACCACAAAATGTGACAGATACATAGCACATTTGTGGTCATTAGTCTCAATAGTAAAGGATCTGCTTGACTGTTGTTAATAATACATATATATATATATAGACCTTAACAAATGAGGAGTGCCAATATACCCGATTACGAATGACTACTGACTATAGGGTAAGGAGAGAATACGAAATGCTCGCATTATTACATTTCTCTGCATATACATATACTCTGTATAATGTCAAATGTTGTTGTGGCCGGAATCTGCTGCTGTGCTTTTAGCTGTATCTGGAGCTCTATCTATAAGTTTAGTTTTGGGTAGTCGTTGATGCTAAATTAAATGAAAAACAAACTCTCAAGGGAGTGTGCTAGGGCCCACGCTCTACACCCTCTTTACCTACGATATGCCCACTGGCTCTACAATTGAAGTCGCGGACCCCCACGACCTTACAATCGCCACTTTTGCAGATGACACAGCCATCTTGTCAAGAAACGATTGTGTCTACGAAGCTACCGACGTCCTGCAGCAATATCTCCACCAATTTGAAATGTGGGCCAAGCGCTGGAATATTGGCATTAATTTAAATAAATGCGCCAATGTGACCTATGCGCTACGGAGGGACATGTGTCCGGGAGTTTTCTTGCGCGGCCAATTGGTGACGCACTTCAACAGCCACAAATACTTAGGTGTGCACCTAGACAGACGCTTGAACTTTAACAAGCACATCACAAGTGTCTCTGTAACCCTAAAGAACAGAATAAGAAAACTAAGATGGCTTCTGAGGAGTAGAAATGCGTTGTCATTGAAAAATAAAGTCACCATTTATAAATCCTGCATAGCTCCCGCCTGGCGTTATGGTATCCAGGTATATAGCATTGCTGCAAAGTCCAGTCTTTCAAAAATCAGGGTGCTCCAAGCAAAAACGCTCCGATATCTGTCTGGTGCCCCCTGGTATATGAGAACCTCCGACTTGGAAAAAGACTTAGGAGTGCCCAAAGTCGGGGACATAATAAATATACAGGCCGCAAATTATATAGCGCGACTGAGAAGTCATCCTAATCGACTGGCTAGGCGTCTTCTGAATAGGCGCAGAATTGGAGGACTCCGAACGCGGAGGAGACTACGAAGGTCTCACCCAATAGATCTCCCAGATCGATTTATATAGTTGACACTGTAAATTTGTATATAAGACTTACCAGTAGAATAAGTAGATTGTAAATATTCATACAAATTTAATTTAAGTTGTTCCAGATAATAACAGAAAAATTAAAATAAAGCTAAACTTAATAATCAAGAAAAAAAAAAAAAATCAGAAAGTCGCCCGTTAAATGATTTAAATATTCAATGAATTGATCGAATATAAATATATATTGTCTTTGCTTATAATTCTCAATTGGTTATAGCTTCGTACTGCTCCCAAGGGCTTGCAAATATATTACAACCAGGGCTACAAATACGTTTCACACGAAATACTTGCCAACTGGTTCGTTTCGTGAACATGGTTTTTGATTTCTTGTCAAAATTAAAATGAAACAATATATTTAAAAATTGAGCTCTACTCGAAAGTTTTTAGATGAGCGCAACAATTGGCATATTTATACTTCGAGACTGTATCTCTGTCTGTGTAAAATACAATTTTTAACTAATCTATTTTTGATTGTCACATTTTTTGATAAAACTTGAGATATATTTATTTGAGATAGATTGGTAAACGAATACGCACTTCACGATCAAAATAAACACGAGCTTTCTTTGTTAATGCTTTCTTTAGCCCAGATGAAAAGTCGCACTCAAAGTGAGCACTCAAAGTGGCACATAGGGCATCTGGCTGTCGTTGTTGTGCATGGCTTTTAGTGGTGGTCTTTTAAATGCACACAGCATGACACGCCCACACATCCATATAGAGAGACCTGTACGTATCCTATCCATGACACATCGCTTGCCTGCCCCACGGCGCTAACTCGACGTAAAGCTGTCTCAGCTGGCTGCTGCTGTATTTTTTAATGCCACATTCAAACACACACACACACACACACACACACACACACACACACGCAAGGACACACTGATGCGAGTATATGCAGACATATGTACATATTTTGCATACGATTACGATTTGGTTTTGAGTTTTAAATCTGAAATCCGTGTCGAAGCTTTTATTTTTGCTCGCATGAAGCTCAACGATTTGGCTGATTAACATATGCGAAAGCCGCGGGACATTTCTCTCTCTCTCTCTCTCTCTCTCTCTCTCTCTCTAAAACGCATGTGTGTGTGTTCGTATTGCAAAGCTGTTTCAATTAAGCTCCCGCCGCATTCGCAATCGCAGTTAACTTCGTGGACATCACGTATACGCACGGTGGCCGCACGGCTTTCTTTTTGTTTTTGTTTTTATTGTATGCCATTATAGAGGGTATTACAGTCGTGTCATACAATGTGTAAGGAATAGTAGGAGACATCATTGAGCCTTTGACGTATATATATATTCCAGATCAGTATCAACAGTCGAGTCGATATAGCCATGTCCCTCTGCAGAGTCTTGTAATGAAACTTTGCCTAGATCCGACATTTTGGTGTAGGCAGAACACATGCCAGAATTGGACGGATCGAATTATTATATAATGTAGCTGATACAGGATGAATCGGGTAAAAATTAGTAAGTGAAAGTTGATTGTTTTTTATTGAAATTCGGGGCATTTTCCAGCTGTGCCCTAATTCTTTGGCATTAGCAAAATCTAATTAACATTAGCTATATCAAATATATCATATCTATATATATATATAATATATCCTAAAAGCTATGGAAGCAATGCGTTGAATAATGAGTTTTTGGATGGAAAACTTGATTGCAAGCTTTAAGCTTCTTCTTGAAAGTCTTATTCCAAAAAGCAGTTCGACGAGTGCATTGAGTATTCGGTGTGCCGTTCTTTTATTTTTGTTGGTTTTTTTTTGTGAGCTCGGTTTGGTTAGTCGACTTATCGACTGGGCGACACATTTATGTTGTCCTGGTCCTGTGCGACTTTTAGGTCGAGCGAGCGGCAGCTGCTTCTGTTTCAAATGAAGTGTTACAAATGGACATTAGGGCCGCCTGCGTGTGTGTGCGTGCACATATACATAGGTGCTAGATGGGTTTGGGTGAAATGCGATTTTATGCTTGATAAACTACAATAACAACAAAAGCAACTACCAAAGGCAAAGGGCCGAAAAAGAAACAAAAACAAAAACACGCTAGTGGCCGCAAAGGTGGGCAGAAAAGGCCAGTTTAGGCCTGGCCCGGTGCGGCGAGCGGAGCCAGTTGGCAACATTTTTGGGCAGTTGGCAACTTGGCCATTTAAGTTAAGTTCGAGCCGAGTTGAGTTGAGTTGAGTTGCGTTCAGTTCGGCTTTGGCTTAGCTCAGCGAAGCAGAAATATGGACAAATGTGCAAATATGTTGCCCACCTTATGCTTGGCAACACCCACACATTTAGGCAACGGCCGCCCCCAAAGCCTTTTACATTCTCTTAACTCTTTTTATTTTTGGTTCTTTTTTTTTGTTTTGCCTTGCTTTGACCGTGTGTTGCTCTTGCGCTTTGCACCTTTGTTTGTGCACGTCCTGCGGCAACGGCAGCGTCAAACGTGTTCGTAGTTTAAGTTCTTCTTCTTCTTCCAATAGGGAGTATGCTGCGTTGGCGGGCGTGGCTGTTGGGTTCTTAGGTTAAACAATGAAATTTCCACTTCATCTGTTTTTATGCTGCTCTGCATAATTTAATTTTGCACTTTCAATTCGTTGGATTTGGCTTAAGTTTTATTATTTCAGTTTTGGCACGCATTTTTGTATGTTTATTTGTTTTTTTTTTGTTTTTCTTTTTTTTTTTGTTTGATTTTACTCGCTGCTTTTCAATTTATTCGCTGTGCATAACTGTGCTCTTTTCTCTAGCATGTCACAAAACTTTTCGAATTCGCGTGTTTTTTTTTGTTTTTGCTTTTTACCTAGCTCTAATTGGTGGAAGGGGGGTGGGGCAGGGTTGACGCTACTTGAACTTTCCTGTGGTTAATGCGAATTTATTGCATGCTTTTGTGTGTCGCCAACAACAATAACAACAAGAACAACAACAATTGAAATGTCATCAACTGCAGACAAAAGGGAGTTGAACCCGTGAAAGCTCTTGAATATCCTTCAGTACATTTGCATTGGACTCACAATTTGTTGTTGCCATTGATATGGACTCAAAAAGATTTCCCAACCAACTGAGTTGGTACGGAAAAGTAACTTTTCCCATTAAAAAGTGCTTGAACCATTAAACGCTGATTCAAATTGAAAAGCGATTAATATGAAAGACATTTTATCGATAGCATTTAAAGACTTCTGAACTTATGAACTTCTTAGCAACTATCGATAGATACAATTGATAAGATCGATAAAACTATCGAAGGCACCTATCGCTAAGTTGCTTGCGTTTCTGCCCCTTTGATACCATCGACTTCACCAAACACTAAGTGCGCAGTTAAACTATCGATAACATGCCGCTCACTGTTATCTACCATCAATTGTTTTTTTTAGCTATTGTTAATTTCAATATTGAAGCACTAAAGTTATCGAAACCGATATCATAAATGTCAATCGATAGTTTCGAATCGAATTTTGCTTCCTGATAACGATTACGTTTTAGCGGGACTTACCCAAAAATGTTGAACATATATATTCGGAAATTTGATTTCCCGATCTGCTGGACTCGCTGAAGTGTGAGAGCTCCTTGTTGAGCATGCGTTTAAACTGCAAAATGGAAAAGGATAGTGGAAACTAGAATTAGTAACGATGTCGATAAGTATTTATCGATTTAACGCACCTTAAGCGATGCCATGTCGGAGACACTGCGGTGCGTTTGTATGGTATCCAGTTGATCTAAACACCAATCCAACTCCTCAATGGTATCGGTGGCTAGGCGTGTGTAGGCCTCATCGCCCTGTGCTAGTTGGACACCGCCAGCATTTCCGGCCCGTCCGGATGATGATTGAGCTGGCCGCCTGGATCTTGTTTGATTAATACATGATTTTCACGCGCACAGACACACACACACACACACACACACACGCGCACAGAAATAGTGAGACGGAGTGGGAGTAACAGATAGAAGGGATAGAAGGGAGGAGATGAGATTGTGTGAGAGAAATAGAGAGAAGTGGAGTAGGAGAATAGCGTGGGAATTATTGTGAATTTGGGAGAAACAAGAACGGGTACGGGTGCGGGTACATGTACAATAACAACAACAAACAAGAGAACAAACAAAATTCGAAAAAAATAAACAAGAAATTAGAAATGATAAACGTTCAAAAAAAAAGGAGGAGAAAAAAAACAGAGAACATTGACAAAATATGTTGGAATATGCAAAAGGTCACGGAATGTGGGGTTAAAGGGGGCGAGGGGAGTAGCACAGAGTTTTAATAGTTTTTTGTTTTGTTTCGTTTTTTGTAAACAACCACACACAGCAAGAAATACACGTGTTTACAACATTGAGAATTAGAAATTTTTGCATTAAAACAACAACAACAACGAGTAAATGTTGTATTTGGCGAGCGAGCGAGCGAGACACAAATAAGTATGTTATTATAAGTATATATATGTATATATGCACACATATATATGTAGCAATAGACAAAGAAACAGAGAGAGAGAGAGAGAGAGAGAGAGAGAGAGAGAGAGAGAGAGAGAGAGAGAGAGAGGAAAAAAATATGAACAAAATTTAATTGAAGAATCTGTGGTTTTCTGTACAACATTGAAAAAAATTATTGATTAGCTTATATTTAATTTGCATACTCATGGACTTATGTAGCTTAAAGGGGGTGGGGATTAACGAGGGGTTTACCATTTTTGGGATTTAATTGGTATTTCTTTTTTTCGTTCAAACACATCTAGATGGTTAGATATTGGTGCCAATAACAACAACAATAGGAGCATCAAAGTAAAGAGAGACATTCTTCCAAGCAACAATATTGAACGCTTCACTCGGCCTTACCCCGGCCTCACCCTCGCCACGCCCCCTTTTGGTCCGTTGCCTGCCCAGTTCAACAGAACTGAAAATGTTCTAAATTTGAGTTCCGTCATATTCGATGGAAAAATTATAAATAAATTGTACGCTACGGTTTTTATTTGCGGTATTTTTGGCACGTCAACACGGTGCCACACAAACCGTTGTCCCGACACCTCATTCATTCTACCTCTTCGACCCCCCCCATCCCTTCACCATGCGCCCCCGTCTTGCCACGCCCGCCCTTTGAATACTGTAGGCTGGTTTCTTCGCATCATTGTCGTCATTTCTCTTTAAGTGGGTCTTTATTCATCTGTGTTTGTCCGTGGCTCTGTGTGTGTGTGTGTGTAAGTGTGGTGCGGCTGGGGGTTGGTGGGAATTACAAATACACACACGCACACACTAGCATGCATAGGCATACATGTGTAGACAAAAACTATTGTTAGTCGGAAGAATATATGAATGCCTTATGCTTTTGTTGTTGTTCGGGTTCTTGTTATTGTTATTTGTAGTTGCCACTTGATTAATTAAAGTGTGAGATGACAACAAGATATTGAGCGAGATAGAGAGAGATAGAGAGAGAGAGAGAGAGCACACACAGAGAGCGAGCGGGAGGGACATCGACAGGCAGCAAGACAGGGAGGGTCAGACAGGGCCAGGGAGACAGCTATATAAGAGCAAGAGATTCAGGGAACGGTAAGGTTAAAGAATGGAAAGAAGGACTCGTTGCTGAAGTGGGCTGGGTTGTGGGGGAGGTGGATCATGTACACTCATCTTAGCTGGCTTGTCAAGGATCGCGGTGGTCATGATGTGGTCAATTTGGTGACAGGGCTTTGATGATTGAACGGCATAATGGGCGTGTCAAGGTCACAATCGACTTACTTGTTTGATGCTGGTACATTTGTCAGACTTAATAAATTGTTGCGCACTGAACGTAAGCTGGCTAAAATTTGGGCAAACGGCGTTACAATGAGATCCTCGCCATGGCTGTAAAAAGAGAAAGAAGAGAGAAAAATTGATTAGAGAGAGTAGTTTACAATACACACAAGCACATAGAACACTTTGACACACAGACATGCAAAACAAGAAATGAGCGCGTAGAGTAAGCGATTATTGGGGCTGTGGAGCCGATGAGAGTGTCCAGATATCACACTCCCAATGGCGCAACCACAAAGTAGCGAGTAACGCGAACAGTGACTCCCTGAAATAGTAAAGGTAGAAGTAGCGAGTACTTCGAGGATCGATTAGCTAACGTAGCGAGTAGCAGAAGTAAAGAAAAACAGATGAAACGTATAAGCAGAAAGTAACAGATGTAGCGAGTAACCGAAGTAACGAGTAAAATATACAGCGCGTAATATATGTAGCGAGTAACACATGTTGCGATTAATAGATGGAGCGACCAACAGAAGTAGCGAGAAACAGAAGAAGCGAGTCACAGTAATAGATGTAGCGAGTAACAGAGGAAGCGAGAAACAAAAATAGAGAATAGCTAAAATAGCGAGTCGCAGCAGTAGAGAGTACCAATAGTACTAACTGACAGAAGAGTAGCGAATTAATTAATAAGAGAACGCAAAACGTTTAACCATTGCATCTCGTTTTGATTTCGCTTCTGCCTGACTCTTTTGCGGTTTGCACTCGAATTGGTTGGCTTCAATCCTAAAAGCTGCCGGCAAAAACCATCGAATGATTACCATCTAGTGCAATTTTCGACATGAGAGTGTATATATATTGGACATAGATTCATAAGAGCTAGCATTGAGTGACCCTTTCCACCGAATTGAATCCATGAAATGCAACACAGAATTTAGCACGGCTTCAATTAGACTATACAGTTTTTGTTTCCATATCCACACCCAATTTTTATTATATTTTTACATTCAAATTTTCAAGCTGATTTAAATTGAAATGCCTGTGTGCCTAAACCAATTGGCTGGCAAATCAACTGGAATACTCCCAGAAGCCTCAATGCCCAAAGCCTTATATGATATGACAACCTGTCCCCGATGCGGGGGCCTTACCAGGTGGCGGCCAGTTGTTGGCCAGCCGCAAAAGGTCAGCGGCATTGCCACGAATAGATATGCCCCCCTCAAAAAAAAAACACAACAAAAAAAAAAATGAAAGGAAAACACAAAGGAAGGCAAAGGAAAGCGGTGAATTATGGAATAAAGGACGTTTAAGTTTTTTGCACCGGCCAACTGGATGCAGGTTGGCTCGAAATTTCCACACATATATGCGGAACAAAAAGCGGCGCGCACAATTTGTGAAAACGTTTCTCGCCGCACACGAGCCACTTGGCTCAAAATATTTGTGCCGAAAATAAATATAAAATGGGTAAAAAAAAAGGAATAAATTAAAAAAAAAACACACACACACAGACATTTATACATATATATATATATATATATATATACAGCCAGGAGACGTGCACTTTGTCGTTGACAAACAAAAAATGGCATAAATTAATATTAATAAAATAAAATTAAAGAAAAAGAGGCAAAGAAAACAACAAACAAAAATAAAGTTTTCGACCCATCTGTGACGTCACGAGGCGACGACGTTGGCGGCGCTAAAATTAAAATTCACTTTTATTTATTAATTTTTTTTTTAATTTTTATATTTTATTCATACCCTATATTCGCATAATTTTCTTAAAACGGGGTGTTCACAAGTTGTTCAACTGTTGCAAGCACCCAACTCTGTATCTAGCAGGTTTACCTTATCTTCCATTAACTGCTCTAGACTAGAGAGTACGTGCATATATTAGATAGATATTAGGCTATGAAAATACCAATTGGTGACAGTTTATAAATTCGATAAATCTATCTGAAGTTGACAATAAGTTGTTTATTGTGATTTTCTCTGTCTTTGTGTACGTGTCAACAGGGGCTACAACGTCTTGCAATTTCGACTAGAGCTTTGCTATTTCTATGTCCAGCACTCATTGAAAATGGTTAAAAAAAGGTCAACTGCCTGGCATATCATTTCTTGAGCTGCAACAACAGCCGAGTCGACTAAGCCATCTTGGCAACAACAAGAGCTACAGACTTGCAAATTGAAATATATATTCTCCTATGCGTCAAATGTGGTATGTGGTAGGTCAAATTTCCTTCAGAGCTGAAGACTCTCATTATTTAAAATCTCAGCTTTGTGCTATGGTATTTAAGCACGTTTTATATGCCGCGAAAATTTCTAAAAGATCGGACTGTAAACGCCGATGCTATTCACGCCTTTTCAAGAAATTATGTAGAGGTAGCTTATTGCGCGAAGCAGGGTATTCCCTAGTTGGGCACGCCACCGGCTAGAGCACTATTGTTAAATTTGTAGTATACGTACGCGTGCACACGTACGCACATTTCTGGGCCGTTCAGCCTTAAAGCCAATTGGCTGGCAATGAAAATGGTTGGTAAACTGAAATTTTCATATGAGATTTGGCGACTGTTTAAAAATGTTCAATGAAAATTCCGCGAAGCGACGTCTTTTAAAAGAGACGGACAGATGCATATACATATATGTGTATAAATGGAGAGAGTGAGAGAGGGAGAGAGAGAGAGAGAGAGAGAGAGAGAGAGAGAGAGAGAGAGAGAGAGAGAAAGAGAGAGGGAGAGATGGGAAAAGTGACAACGATATACGATTAATGATGCCAACTCATTTACAGCCAGGTTGCCAGCCCCTCCACCCGCAACGCTTCCAATCGCTGAGCCCTGTGGTATGTCTGCCTGATTTTTTGGCACGTCGCTCTCCTGCATGTGTGTGTGTGTGTCGCAACAATTGTACAAATACAATCCATCCATTTGTCCATCCAAAGTGGCAACCATAAATAACAACAAGCGGTAAACGCAGGCCAAATGCAACAACATTCACCTCCAATACGAGACCTTGAACCACTCGCAGTCCCAGTCCCAGTCCCAACCTCAAATTTCAATCCCAGTCTCCACCTTTGTGCACATTTTTCAGTGGCACCTCCACCTTCAGTTTGAGCTCTTCCCTTTTGGCCCCAACGTGTCGCCAGACTTTGCCACTTTGCAGACAGACGAAATGTTTTCGTTAGCGATTTGTCATTTTAAATCATGTCTCTACTCAGCTCGTATTCTCAATTTCTCATTTTCCCATTTTCGCATTTCCTCGTAATCTCTGTTCTCTGCCGTTTATTAGAGCGTTTCTAGTTCGTTATTCGATTATGAATACTGCGACGCATTTCGCCGACAGATTCAAAAACATGTTCATGACTCACACATCGCGTTTCGTATTCGGTTTTTGCGCTGGATTCAGCCTAGTTCTGAATAAAGGCTCATCAAATCTGATGTTTCAAATGCATTCAGAATTATTTGCAGCTATATTACAAGAAAGTGTCATAACAGAAGCAATGTATGCAAAATGTAGGATAGTATAAAACCAAATTCCCAAATTGTAAAAGGGTTTCCTATGAGAACTTAAGCCTAGCCGCCTATTTTGGGGGCATGGCTAGTTCGACGGGCAAATATTAATAGAATAATTAAAAATCTGCCTGGGCTTTTAGTTTTTTATTACCTTTTATAGGGCATTAACTACTTGCTTGCAAAAAGACAATCTATCGAAAGACTTCGGAGACGTTGCTTTTAAGTTAATTTAAGCCTAACTTAGTCGCAACGTTATGAATAGTAAAAAAAAAATATAACTTCAATTATTATTTAAAAAAAAAAAAAATAAAACAATTTTTTTTCCTTAAATAAAAGTGTCTTTCAAAGACACATAATTTGAAAAAAAAATGTATATGCTAAGTATATTAAAATTATAATACATCTTCATAAACAAAAATATATAATTTAAAAAGAGGAGAAAATACGCCGCGGATTTAATATCCTTGTAGGTATTTGCCTTTTGCAGATATGTCAGAATAATGAAGCTCTCAAATGCTGAGTTTGAGGAAAATATTCTTTTTTCATCAAAAAAAAAAAAAAAATTGTGTACCATTAAATTTATAATTTTCGTGAAAAATTAATAAGAAAAAAACAACATTGAGCCAAACAACATTGGGCATGGATGTTAGTGCATCCACGCCCTCTCAACCGAGAGAGCTGCGACCAGAATTCGCTAAAATGATGAGAATTGCTGGCGCTACACCTGCGGAAATTCGTGAAATGATATCCCTAAATACTGTAAGTGCTTCAAATACTGCAAGTAAGTGCAGTAGCAGCAATTTTGCAGCAACGACATGCACATTGACGTCGACAAACTCCATCTACGCGTCTACCTACACTGTCACAACTTCAAGTGGAGGAGTGTGCACCATCCCAAATATTAACTACAAAAGTGTAGTTGCAGGCGCATCAGAAAATAATATCAATGAACTAGGAAAGTCATCAGTGAAATCACTCAGCTGGATGACGACCAAAATAAAACGTAAGCTGCCTTCAAGCTTTCCAAAAGAAAATGGTAAAAAAGGGAGGTTAATTGCATCTCAGATATCGATGGACAGACGTCTAAAGGAGATCCCAATAAACTCAAAAAACCAATTTGCAATACTGGATAATGAAGAAAACGATGATCCTACAGAGGAGGAAATAGCCCATGCCGAGGCACTGGCAGAAGAGATGGAAGTAGAGCTGAATGCGGAAAAAGAAGCCAGAGTACCCAGATCCAGGAAGCCACCCCCCATCTTCATTGAAAATGTAAACAATGTGACCCAGATGGAGGCAGAGCTTGATACAGTCATTGGGTCAGATAGTTATACCCTCCACGTTGGAACACAAGGAAAAGTAAGAGTTCACGTTGAAAACTCGAATTCATATCGAAGCCTAGTGCAGTTTCTCAAAGAAAATAATGCACATCACTTTACATACCAACTGAAGGAAGACACGGCCTTCAGGATTATCGTCCGCAATTTGGCTAGCACCACGCCTGAAGATAGCATTAAAGAGGAGTTTATGCGATATGGACACAGTGTCCTTCGTATCCACAATCCTCGTCCTCGTAAGGCCCAACAACAGGAAAACGGTGAAGCCATTGAG